TCAGTGACAGCAAGCCAGAGACGTCAATAAAACCCATTATAAGCGCTTGCACCTTATAACGCAGATGTGCGGTGTACAGAATTAATTCCTCCCACCCCCTCCCAGCCAGCCTTGGTGAAATTAAAGTGCAGAATGACAGTCTCACGAATTTCCCATTTCCTGCCTGTGTTTATCAGGATCCTAGGTCGTGACAGTTCTGATCATTCAAGTCTTGAGTGGTTTATGCCATAGAAGGGCAAAGCCACGTTTGCACGCCCCTCTGTCATCTTCCCCTCTTCTCCCTCCACCCTGACGAAGAGAGAGTGTCACTGTGATGCTCTGGTCTCAAGTGACGTCAGCACCTGGGCTGTCATTTATATTGGCTGTCATTAGGAAGCAGATAATTGGCCATGTGATTTACCTAAGCAAAGCAGCAATTGTCGTCTGCCCTGAAATTCCTTCATGAACATCACCTTTTCCTATTTGCCTCTGAAGGTCACCTGGAAAAAAAATGTTGATTTATTTTGTGTTGTTGTTTTGTTTGTTTCTTGGCATTCCCATATGTGTCAGAGTAGAACTATGTTCCTTATGGTTTTCAATGGCTGATGTTTCAGAAGCAGATCGCCAGGTCTTTCTTTGGAGGTGCCTAGATACTCTCGAAACTGATGCTTTCAGTTAACTAGTGAAGCTCATTGTCAGTTCATTATAATATACAGACACACTGCTGTTGAGTCCATTCTGACTCATAACAACCCTTTAGGACAGGTTAGAAATGCCCTGTCGGGTTTCCAAGATGATAAATCTTTATAGAAGTAGAGTGTCACCCCTTTCTTCCTTGGAGTACCTGATCAGTTCAAACCACCAACCTTATGGTTAGCAGCCAAGTGCTTAACACTGCACACCACTAGGACTACTTTGCTATAATATTTTGTTGTTGTTGATGTTGTTAAGTGGTGCCAGGCTGGTTCCAACTCAGAGCAATCCTGTGTAGTGTTTCCCAAACTTTAATTGTTCTATGGAGCAGCTGGTGGGCTCGAACCCCTGACGTTGTGGTTCACAGTCCAGTACTTATCGTTTGTCAAAAGACAAACCAGTCTGCTCCTTTCTCTTCCTGTTGCCCAAAACTATCTTCCCGAAGATCAGAGGGAAAGTTTTCCTAAGGAATGACATGAAATTTGGGAAAGAAGTCACCACTTGTTAAACTAAGAACAACTTTTATGGATGTATACATTAGAGCCCAGCATTTTATCAGGGAAAAAAAATGGGTAAAGTTTTTGGAGAGAAGGAAATTGTCACTTTTATCCTAGCACCTTCATATAATTGTGCAACTTTTGGTTCCACATGTCAGCTTCTGTTATTCATCATTATGATCAGTATGTATAGAGTGCTGTTGTTGTTATGTGCCGTGGAGTCATTCCCAACTCACAGCGACCCTGTGTAGGATATCCTAGGAGTGCTTAGTGAGCTTGAACCACCGACCTTCTGGTTTACAAGGCTGTAAATCTTTATAAGGACAGAAAGACTCATTTTTCTCCTTTGGAGCAAGTAGTGGATTTGAACGGCCAACCTTGCAGTTAGCATTCCTGTACTTCTTTTACAATGCCACCAGAGCGCCTTTAATTATAAGTTGTTGTATTTGTTAAGTGTCGTCGAGTCTATTCTGACTCACAGCTACCTGTATTGTGTTTTCAAGGAGTGGCTAGTGGGTTTGAACTGCCGACCCTGCAGTTAGCATTCCAGTGCTTCTCCTACAGTGTCACACCAGGACCCCACTTATAAGACATTATTTAGTGCTGTCAAGTCTGTTCTGACTCACAGCTACCCCTATAGGATTTCCAATAACTGACTGGTGGGCTTGAACTGCCCAACTTGCTTATGCTACAGCACCACACCAGGACCCTAATTATACCTTAATGCTTGTTGTTAAGTGCCATCGGGTCGATTCTGACTCAGCAATCTTGTATAAGGGTTCTGAGGCTTTTTAAATCTTTGCAGGAGCAGAAAGCCTCATGGTTCTCCTGCAGAGCAGCTTGTGGGTTCAAATCATCAACCTTGTGGTTCAGAGACCAATGTTTATCTTACAGAGTCACTATGTTCCCCAATTATAATTTAGAATACCCAAAATAAATCATTATGGACACAGATGCCAAACTTAATAGAAAGGTCATGTGTGTTCTGGTATACGCCTTTGTTTTTTACATTAGCCATCTTCATCGGCTAATGTATGAATGAAGACTCAAGGAAAAAAGAGCAGAAAATCGTGAAAAGGGGTATTTTTGCAGCAGAATTCCCATTCCATGTCTCAGCATTCTTGTCTTCCTTGTTTCTATTTCTGTCAGGGTAAGGAGGCCGTAAAAGTGTGAGATAGTGGTTGGTGGAACCTCAGAGAAAGAGCTGCTCTCTCTTAATGAGGGGACAGCTGGAGGTAAGCCAGACACAGATGAACCGCGAGAGCCAGAAATAGCTTGATGGTTGACATTGTCGTCTGAGGCATCTAGCTAACGCTGGGTCTCCCGAGTTTACTTTGGAAGAATTCTTCAACCGTCTGAAATTCAGTAATCCAGTGGCAATGACCTCGTCTTTCTGCCTCTTTCTGGGGCATTCTTGCTGTGAGTCACTAGCCAAAGCCCAAACCTCTGACAGATTCTAAGGAAGAGAATGATGTGGAAAGATCCGCCTCCCTGACAAAGAGATTCAGGGACAGTCACTGCCATTCCCAGATCATAGGAGGAGAGAGGTAAACATCCGTGGTGCCTAATGAAGGCATAGAGAAAGACGATCGGGTAGAGCTGATGTGAAGACACTGGGTGCTTCTCCTTCAGGTTAGGAGCCATTGGGATGATGAGAAGAGTTCCTTGGGTGGCATGAACTTGTTATGTGCTCAGTTACTAACCAAAAGGTTGGTAGTTCAAGCCCACCCAGAGACAACTCCGAACAGAAGTCCACCAATCTTCTTCTAAAGGTCACAGCCTTGAAAACCCTATAAAGCATGGTTATACTCTAGCACATGAGACCACCGTGAATCCGAATCAACCAGATTGGGCAATTTTTTTAGGGTGTTGAGCTGTACTGATAGCTTTCGTTGCCCAAAGTTTGTTCTCTGCTGACTGCTCAGAGCAGTTGAATGGCCAAATTGCATCCGTTACTGATAAAGCACATGCCATTGGAGAAATCTGTTTTAACATAGCAGTTAGAGATTGGTACATTAGCCTTGGCTAAGGTTACTCGACTACAATGAACCAGCAGCTCTTTGGTCATGGCTCATCATTGGCACTCAGTGACTGAACTCAGAATTCTGACAGTTGAATCTAGTCGTTTTTGTTATGCCCTACAGCCCCTAAAGGATAAAATCTAAATTTTGTGCAGCCTTTCCTCTCCAGTAGGTCAAAGACCCAAGATAAACGTATTACCTGTCTGTCAGTGGAGGCTTGCTTGCTGATGTGCAGGCAATGATGCTGAGCAGGACTTCGTGGTACTTCCAGATGGAGATGGACTAGAAAGAAGGGCTTGGGACCCCACCTAAAGATCATGGGTTCATCCAGACGCTTCACTACCTCTGTGTGTGGCTTCCATGTTTTAGAAAGTCTACACTCCTGGGGTTACCTGCCTGTTTTGCTGTTAAGTCAGCATCCAAGTTATGGCAACCCCATTTATAATGAGACTAAAGTTTGGTTCAGATCATTGTGACCCACTGAGTTTCCATTGGCTGATTTTCAGAAGTAGATTGCCAGGCCATTCTTCCTTGTATATTTTAGTTTGGAAACTCCACTGAATCCTGATCAGCATCATAGCAAACCTCTACTGATGGTGGCTGAGCATGCGGTACACTGGGAATTAAACCTGGGTGGCTCACATGGACAGTGAGAATTCTATCATGGAACCACCAACAGCTTCTGATTAGGAAGAACTTTATTGTTTTTCATGGTTTCCCTGGAAGGGAGATGCTGAAGAGAGGAAAGTTGTATGACTTGAGAGCTTGTGAGGCCTTAGAAAACCCTTGTAACCTTGCTCAGCCTCTCCTCATTCAAACAAACAAACTAAAAAGCCCAGTGGCCATCAAGTTGTAGCTGGGAAAACAGTTCTGTATCACCTGCCACTGATGTAACCAATATTCAGAGACAGGACTCAAAGCAAAGAGGAAAAAATAGCATTTATCAAGTACCGATACTTATGAGAACAGAGGAACGGAAATCTCCCAGAGAGGATTTATAGGGATCCGGGCATAGGATAGAAGCCCAAGTAATTTCAGAAACTTTTGTTGCTTTATCTCAAGTCTTGCAGACTGTTCTGGACATGCTGTCTCTAACAGGCTCTGTTAGCTTTATCCCAACAGTGGTGGTTATCAACGATTTTCACAAGAAATGTGCAGGTGTTTTCTACCTTCCTGGAATAATCCTTGGAGTGGGGGATTAGCTACCAATTAAAAAACAAAATGATCAATCCCTGAAAAAGGAGTTTAATGATGGGGCAGTAATTGACTATGACAGGTAGTTAGGGACGAAGCTACATTTTAACTCTAGCTGTTATGACTGTCTGAGTCTCATTTTACTCTGGCCAAGCTAAAACTTTCTCACTGCCCCATTTCAAAGTCAATTCTGACTCATAGGAACCCGACATAGGGTTTCCAAGATTGTAAATCATTACAAGATCAGACAGCCTCATCTTGTTTCATGCAGAGAGACTGATGGGTTTGAAGTGTCGACCTTGGGGTTAGCAGTCCAACGCCTAACCCACAGTGCCATGAGGGCTCTGTTCGCCTCATAGATGTGGAATGATAATACTTCTACTATCATGAGAATGAAAGAGATGGTTTATACAGAGCACCTCCCTTGAGATGAGAAAAGCAATCATGTTGTGTCTGTTGGAAAGCATGGGCCTCCCTCCACTCAGCCTCTTTGCTGCTCCTCTTGTCTGCGCATGTCGTAGTACTGCTATGTTCACTCTGCAGGCATTTTTAACTACAAAAATAAAACAATGCACCAATTTTCTTTAAATGTGCTGTTTCCCTTCCTCTGTTGCAGGAGGTGCTGGATCTAGCCTTCTCCATCCTGTACGACTCCAACTGCCAACTGAACTTCATTGCTCCTGACAAACATGAGGTAAGGATCTTCAGCAGAGTCAGCTGAGGAGAGAAAGTTACATTTTCTCTAGAAAAACAAGCAGGAGGAAAAATACTAGAAAAAAAGACAGTTCATTTAAAAAAAAAAAAGGTGAAGGAGGTGCTGTCTTAGAATATCATGAACATCTTGTTCACTTGAAACTTCTTGCAAACTACCAGCTGTAACAGATTCAAGGTCATTGTAGTTTGAATGAGAGTTCATGGTAAAGTAAAAGGATGAGTTGGGGAAGTGAGGGCCTGCAGTGGGGGCACAGTTACTTCAAACTCAGCAAGGGCATAACTACTAATCCTGAAGAAGAAATGAGACCAGCTTTTCTTTTCATTAAATATCGTTTTGGGGGCTGGATATCCCCCCCCCCCCCCCCCCCAGATAAACTCTCTTCTTGAAAACATCTGATGAAGTACGTTTGCTACCAAGTTTCTTTAAGCTATTTTGAGAGGCTGGGAGCTGTCTCTGCTGTTGGGATTTTATTTTCAAGATGCTTTTATTTCTTTTTGACATCTTGTTATATGTATAATTTCTTTCTCCTTCTTGAAGCACACTGTCAGCTATATTTAAAATATTTAGCATAAAATCTAAGAAAATGCACTTATAAAATAAAGTAGCAGTTATGGTTGATTTAACTTTTTCCTCTTGTAAAACCAATATCATGCTTGAAAGTTTTATTTTTAGATGATGCCATTCAAATTTTGTCTTGTATGTGGTTGCATAAACAGCTTTTAGAAAAGAAGGGGGCATTTTAATAGAATCTGACTTTTGTTCACCATTTTCCCCCAGGATCCCTAGCTTATTTAGAAATTAGTCAGTGTCTGGTTTTCACTGGGTGGAAGCTTTTGAATAAAATTGTACTTCCCAAAGAGCGAGGAAAGATTAAACACAAATCCTGCATTTAGAATGGTGCTTAAATATAATTATGTCTTACTTGACATTTAGTTTGCAGAAGGGATAAGACTTTGTCTTCATCTTTCTGAAAATAGATACTGCGTCCTACTGTTTCTGTTTCTAAATAAAATTGTGGCTGTACACAGGTCACCATGTCCAAGATGTATAGAAAACTATTTAAAACAGTAAAAGTGTGTATGTTATTCAAATCTATGCAAGGTTGTTTTCTCCTAGTGTACATTAATTCCAGATAAGGATAGATGCTTTGAGAATGCCAAATTTTTATTCATTTTGGTCACTTCCAATAGATGTTTTTGTTGTTGTTAAGCACCAATGAGTTGGGTCTGAGTCTTAGGATTTCTGAGGAGGTCTGGTTAGTTTGAACCGCCGACCTCACAGTCGAGTGCCTGTCCCACAGGGCCACACAAGAACTCTATCTACTACATTTTATTATCACATTCACTCCATAAAAGAGAAAATTCTACTACAGATACCCTCATTTATAAATGAGGAGAGAGATACCTCCTGAAATTGGATACCTCAACAATCACTAGGATATTAATAACTTTTATAAGTAAACTAGTTTGCTCCACATCAAACCAGAAAATCAAACTTTTTCCTGTCCAGTTGATTTGGACTCATAGAAACTCTATAGGACAGAGGAGAACTGTTCCATAGCATTTCGGAGATTGTAAGTCTTTGCAGCTTCATCTTTCCCCGTGGAGTTCAGACCCACCAATTTTGCAGTTAGCAAGCTGATGCTTAACCTATGGAGCCACCATAGCTCCTTTTAAGCTCCTTTAAATGTCATGTATGTGTGTTGTTGTGGTTGTTGTTAAGTGCCCTTGAGTTGGTTCTAACTCATAACAGCCCTGTATACCATTTCCAAGGAGCAACTGGTAAGCTTGAACCTTGCAGTCCAAAGTGACCTTGTAGTCCAGTGCATTGACCCACAGCGCCATACTAGGACTCTTGTGTGGATGTTATTTTATCCCAATTAATTTTTATGTAGCCCTAAAAGAAACAAACTCACACTGAACTCATTTTATAATATATCTGTCTACTACTATATACAGATATATTCTCAGGAGGGACGTGTCCTTAGAGAAGGACATCATATTTGGTAAAGTGGAGGGTTGGCAAAATAGAGGAAGACTCCAATAAGATGGATTGGCACAGTGGCAGCAGCAATGGGCTCAAGTGTAAAAATGACTGTGAGGTTGGTACAGGACTGGGCAGTGTCTCATTCGGTTGTGCATAAGGTCACTGTGAGTCAGAACCAACTCAACAGCACCTAACAGTAACCATATACAGTCAGTTTGTAAGTTTCTTGTACTGCCTCCTTCATATGTTCTGCATGTTTGTTTTATAGTTTTTTATTCCTCCTTCATATGTTCTGCATGTTTGTTTTATAGTTTTTT